AAAAATTTCTCGTTCTGCACAGGGCGAACCAAATCTTTGATTACTGCGGCCATTGTTGAAGTAATGCCTTACACATCTTATGGACCCATCATTCAAACGTGGCGATCCCCGCAGAAGCGACAGCTGCGAAAAGATTTGCAGTCAGAGGCAAAATCGGTAGCTTGTAAATTCTGAGCGCAGATCGCAAAACTCGAGTGCAGCTGCGGGTCAGAAGTTAACAGGTTCCTCAATCAGATCACCTACGATTTGAACGATTTTTTTTGAAATGTACAAAGAACTGGCCGCAGGAAGGAAAATTGTGATATTTTTATGGTTGGAAAGATTTCTTCTTTTGATATGCAGATCAAACACGTTTAGGAAGATGAAAATTCGAAGCTGTTTAGAAAATTTTAGGCTTTTCTCTACCAAACAGCATAAAAAAGTTGGTGTCAAAGTCCGACTGAGTGCAAAAAAATGCAAAAATTGCCCGGGAACTTTCTTTACAACCTGATAGTTGCTGCGGCTCACGCTTTAAATTCGTACACTTCATCCAAATTAGTCTTGCTAATGTATTTTCAACTGCAAAAGCGGACGGTGTTTGCAAATACCGATGTAGAGTATTTACAGTTGCGCTTGCTTCCCACAATAGTGCTTACGTCCTTTGTGGCCTTCAGCAGGTGTGTCGATATTTTCTAGTTACCCATCGTATTTTCACTAATGTCTTATATTGATTCGCATACTTCGCATCAAACAATGGTAAATAGAAACTGATTCATTCCGAGAGCTTCTATGTTGATTGTTCTTTTCCTCTCTTTACAGCCCTTTGCTTGATTTATACACTTCTATAGCGGCAGGAATGCACGTTTTGCCTCACTCCCATTTGTTTCAGTCAAGATACTAGCAGGAAAAAAGAAAGAAAACATCGGAGATGTTATCTTATCTTGGTCCTTTCAGCGAAAGCATGCGAGTTTCAAATTGATTAAGAATTGGCCGTCTTTTATACTTCAGTAAGTTTCTTGTTTCTTGCCGCAGTTTCTTGAAAAGGCACCAAAATTCCTAAACGAATGTTGTGAGACTTTGCAATGTATTAGATCGGTACAAACAAGTTTAGTTAATTTTTTATATCCATCGGCAATTACGATAGAACGAGGAATACAAATACTTTGAGCTGTATTCGATGCGAAATTTCTTCCTCTTTCCAGCTGCTATATTCCCAATGTGACTCATCAAGGGAGTGCTGAGATAATCGCTGGACACTTCAGTACTTGGTTTTCACCATATCCAACTTTCTTTTCAAAGCTTTTTAGGGGAGCTTCGATAGCCAGCAGGTAGGGCAAACTTTTTGCCTGTTGATGCGATCTTTCTCCTTTTTCAAAATTTTGAAAATGCTGAGGTTTTCACTCCATTATTACTTATACTAACCTTACAAAGTGAATGAGAATATGAAATCTGGCTACAAAAAAATTGATTTTAGAAATTCTGAAACACAGGCCGCAGGGCTACAAAGAAAATTGCTTTAGTTGGGAAGTGATCTGCCCTATCTGCAAGCTATTGTAACTCCCGCAAAAGTCTCAGTTAAAAAATTCCAAAAATAGCGAAAATCAGACATGGTGAAAACGAAGGATTGTAATTTCCACCGATTTTCTCAGCACACTTTCTCAACAACTAGTTACACTGAAGACATGAGAACTGGAAAGAGGAAGAAATCCTGCATCGGATGCAGTCTAGAGTGTCTGTTTATCTTTACTATGCTGGAATTGCTGGTCCTTTCAGAAATTGACAAAACTTTTAAACCGACCTAATATCATCACCGATCTTGAGATATATTTGCTGCTGACTACTAGAAAAATTAGCTAACTATATCTGGATGCATTCAATCTGGTTCAGAGTTGTTTACAAAACTAATAACAAATAAACAAATACTGTAATAGGGCGTGTGAGAATGTTTGTCGTATGGCGCTTACGTTCACGTTCAATTTCGGCTCCGGAAACGAAGCATATTTCAGTGCTGGATGGTTTACCGCCTCTTGGTTTATGAAAGGGGGAGGGGTCTTAGCAAAACGTTTTGTTATCTGTTTGCTTGTGGTTAAATGCACAGAATCACATATATTCGTTGTCGCTTACTTGTGCCTGTACGCATTCCATATTTTCATCTGCAGTGCAACCTGGGCTTAGATGTGATTGCCCCTAAACTTGAGGATATCATTTGCGAAAGAAAAGAAATGCAAGCATTCACTTGATAACGGGCGAGTAAACGGGGAGTAGTCCACGCTATGTTTTCTGTTGTCCTTGCGAAGCAGATCGATGTGGCTTTCAATTTGTGTTGCTTGTCTAAAGGGGGCGACTGGCGTAGTGGTATGTGGCGCCGCTGTGACCAGGCACACCAAGGTTCAATCCCGCTTCTGGGCCAGTCAAGCTCTTTACTCGATAAGTTGATAGAGCAATCTGTGGGAATCTAAGCAGTAATTGTAATCGGCTGAACTTCACAAATTTACTGTGAAAATAGCACACATTCTAGCCTCTTCGATCATAAAAACGCTCGGAGCATGCCCGCAGATAAATTTGAAGATTCGGAATCCACATTTTTTTTATTGGAAAATGCTTGCTTCTTTTGAAGCTCCACTAAGCTTTTGCTTTCACCTTGGCTAAAAGTACACAACAAATCAGTGAGAAGATCATCATGTTCTTTTCTTCGCTGAAGAGACGAACTGAATTCTGATTTTGGTAGCTCTTTCACACTTTTTCGGATACTCTCGTGCACTATTGCAGATTCTTTTCACACACTATCTATAGTGCACGC